GTGTACAACACTCGGTTTTAAAAAATCAGAGGTATTCATCGTATGATGGATACTCTATCAGACCCAAATGAACACAGAATATCGGAAAGACCCAGAATTACTTAGGAACAATGAACTGTGGGCGCGAATTCAATCGTTCTGCCCTCAGAACGACGCAATGTTGAAGTAGGCATATCTCTTCGAAACTCAATCTTTGAGTGGAGCAGGCCTTGTCTGGCTTGATTTGATCTCATTTGTTACCTACGAAGCGTTTTGAGAGAGGTGTCGCGTCTGCATGGCTGCATCGCTCACTATTAAAGTAGTCTAGATTCATTTGTGATGCACTACTCATAAGGTTGCTGAAACTTCGTCGACAACCCACGACCGGTTTCGCCCGTCTGCTTTGGGCTCATCAGGTAGGCGTAGTCCCCGAGTTCGCGTCAACCTTATGTTTTACTTGAAATTAAATTGCACGAAATTAGCGAATATACACTCATTTGCAAACTAATTTAATCTTTACAGAGACTCACCTGGAACCCAGCTGAATCTCTCGTTTGTGATGTTTCCAGGGAACTGGATGTGCTGCACCAGACCGCCTCGTGTTTCAGTCGCTACGATATTCGAGATATCGCGATACATGTATATATCTGTAATGCACTAGTCATAAGGTTGCTGAAAATTCGTTGACAGCCCACGACCAACAGCACAAACGAGATATTCAGCCGGGTTCCAGCTAAGTCTCTCGAAAAACCAAATTAGTTTGCAAATGAGTGTATTTCACTAGCTTAGGTTCACACTAGATGAGTAATAAGCGCGCTTGCTAAAAATACTAATGCATGCTGACGCATTCCTTCAAATCCACCATCATTTTCACTCATCTCTTTAGACTGGAAAGAAAGGTTATTCACAACGAGCTTCATTTCGTTAACAACTCCAACGCATCTCGCTGGGTCCCCGTACACAATGCCTAGCCCTCTTTGCGTTCTCGAAAATACGAAAACAGAAGTAACCCACACGAATATAAATATGGAACCGGCAGGACGATCTGTATCTAAAGCGCCTCTCCAGTGGAGTCCATCGGAAAGCGAACCTCATCGACCTGCCAATCCGATAAGCCTCGGTTTAACGCCCATAAACACATAGACAGGCGATAGGTCATCGATCATTTTTGTTTAAACAGAGTGGCTGTCACAAACGGACGGAAGAGGGCTACTGGCAATGCATCGACAGAAACTGATTTATGCATGAATATTGCTCACGCAGTTCCAACACCTCCACACTGGGGCGACTTCCGGTCCCAAAAGCATCTGTACATCTGTTTCTCTCCCGACCAAGTGACGACGTACAGACCCACTTCTAACACTCGGCCTGGGGGGAACAGACAAAGACAAGTCCTTGAGAGGGAGATTGGTGACAGCACGCGTCCGTGCTGTTCATGTGTCTGGGGTGGCCTAGTGAGCGATGTCATGCCGGAACTGTTCTCTGTTTGGCCTTGACAGCTAGCTAAGCGGCGGGGTAAACATGTAAATCTGGTATCGAAACTCCACCACAGTTGCGCCAGACACACTGATCTATAGGATTCGCGGTACCCGAATCGGACAGCGGAGAAATAGTCTTGATTTCTTCCGGAGAAACGCTTGCTTTGGGAAAACCGAACGAAAGATAAATGAGGTATGACCCCACTAGCTTATGATCGCCGCATCACCCGGTAAAACGGTGCTGTCAACTCTTGACAAAACGCTATCCTTGAGGCAGACAAAAACCTTTTTGGCAGTCCATTACTGGTTGCGCCAGTTCTTGGGATGTACTTTCGGGGTTTTCCGTCACTTTCGCTTTTCCATTAGGCTTTAAAATATCGCCCCTAATCCTCAAGTTTCAATGATTAGTTGGAGATCTTGCGATTACAAGAGTATCGGAAAGAAGAGATCCGAAATTTCGATACGGATGTACCGAAATTGGTCAACACACGGTGGGCATGATACCAACTGTATCCCATGGCCAAAACTTCCTAGACAGTAACTGCTTCAGAGAGTTGTAGGGAGGGGAACTGACAAACATTGACAGAATCTACCGGATACAAAGTGTAAAAGCTTACAAAAATAACAAAGCTTTGAGTTACAAGCGGTTTTATCCTTTTAGACTATGGAAGGGCAGTTCTCATCAGGAATGATAAAGGAAAAAAGAACCGGGGATGAGATGTCATCCGGGCTAGGATCAGATGATGAACATTAGGTTCGGGTCACTTCGTCGGGAGCATAGTTCATACAGTCTTAAGAAAAGATCTCCCAGCGAACAGGAGACATCCTGAGATGATATTCCGAACAGGATTAAAGAAGTTGCAGCCGACATTTCGTCTCTAGAGGTCGAAGAATACGTTACGTACTCGTAGCAACACAAAAGAGACAGAAGTTTAGAGGCTTGGAAACGCGAAGCAAAGTAGACGATCGTACGATGCGTTTCGCGTGGGGTTTGAAAATTTCAAGACCTCCCCGTACATCCAACGATTAGGTTCAAGATCTAGAGTGTCAGTTTGAGTTCAGATGAACACAGTGTATCAGGCATAGGATGGCTTAGACTTATTGTCTGAGAACTATTGTCTGATTGGACAATAGTTGGCAAGGCAAACGAACCAGAGTAGTGTTACTCTCACGACCGCACTGAGTGGATTACGATAAACTTACTCTGTCTTCCGCTGCTAGTCGCCTCCGCGTCCTCATTTAGGTATTCTCCAGTCCGGAGTCCATTGCTCAGTCCATTTAAAAGCGGAATGCTGCTCGAATTGGCGGCTCCCATATCCATCGCATTCGGGAATCGCAGTAGCCTGGTTAAACTATTTCCCATTATACCAGGCGGGGCATCATGAAAGCATGCATAGATTGGGCTTGTTGAAACACCCCCGTGGGTAAGGGAAATATTATCGGTGGAAAAGCAATTTGGCGTTTGCGGTGTGATCACACCCGAAGTTGGATACATCAGTCCGTGCATTATTCGTCCATCCCCGTCGCCACCTCCAATTCCCACGGATGAAGGTCGAAGAAGGCTATTCATCATTGTGGGAACCATTAGTCCGTTCTGTTGGATCGGTGGCAAATGAGAGGCCATCGTGGGTCCAGGCAGCGTGTGCAACGGTAGGTTTACCTACGTCAATGAAAGTTGAAAAACATCAAGTTGAAAATATATTCGTAAGCGAACCAAACACAGTTTCGAAATGACAAGACCACAGCGAGGGGAGGCTTAGTTAGCTCAATCTTTCAATGCATATCGCTGCCTTTAACACTACTGAGGATGCCTGTAAAATTAATGCATAGTTAGTTGTGTTGTTAGCAACTTGGTTACTCCCAAATGGTCGTAATAAAGGTATTAATAACAGTAGTAGTAATAATAAAGTAATAATAGTAAAGTTCCTTGTCGAGTATGACTGGCTGGAGCTACGCAGCCCTGTGGTGTTTGCTTGTCGATTTGTGCATCAAGAAAACAGCCCAGATATATTGAACGTATTGATAGTAGTGTGAAAATATTTGATAATTTTCAACTGAGATTTCATCTTGTCAGTGAAGCTAACCCATGCTGATGAGCCGAGGAGCACTGTATAGATATTTCACCCTTACTGAGAGTCATCAGTAGTGTGCAGCAGTAGTGTTCAGTACGATTACCCCTCACTTAGACCTTATCTAAAGTGAAACTATCGAATGCAATTGAGTGAATATACTGAATTGGTCACAACGGAAAGCTAGAAAGCTGCAGTGACGTATGCATTGAGGAAAGCTACCCGACCCTGGGTACTTCTACATTACCTTGTTTTTCAAATTCAATCAACACGGCCACCAGAATGAAGAAAACCGAACGGGGGATGAGACGCAGTTTAAGTAGTCTTCATTCTATGGATTCCAAACAATATTAAAATATCTCAATTCAAATTTGTTGACAACACTTAGCCGTGTTTATTTGCCTTCCTTGTTCAAAAACGTTGCCTATGATGCTTGAGGATAGTTAGCCTCGGAGTTAGCCAATCAAACTAAGATGTAAAATTGTCCATCTAATTATCAGAATTCATTAATAGCATGGACGGACGAAGTTGAATAACAACATTTTGAAATCATTCAAAGAGTACTCGGGGGGATCTTCATGCAGGATCGCCTTGATGGCTAGGACCCTTGATATTGGGGGTTTTGCCAAACAAGTTTTTGACACTGTCATACTGGGATACCGTCAAATTAGAAGGTGCATCACTGTCAATTGGCCTAACATTTCCAATTCCCAAAGCCACCCGCAAGGAACTGCTACCGTCCTAAGAAAAAGACAGATTTTCATGCCGAGGAGGGTCCAAGTGAGCAGAGAGATTAAGCGTGGTAGATGGGTTTTCGATATTTGTGTTTAATGTGTCTAAGCCTGACATTCTGCAAAACAAGCTCGTCCGATCTTTCGGTTCCCTTCTGAAACCGAAACTGACGGAGCTCTTCACCATTTGCGGGTCAAATCAGTCAGGCTACCTGTGTGGTCGCTCGAGGATTGTCCAAGTAAAGTGGGCAGGGTCACACAGCGGGAAGAAACAAACTTTGGTTTAAACTTTCACTAGCCAAGTGAAACAAATGTGCCTTGATGCTGCACTCATCACCGGAATTTAGAATTGGGCTAACGCAGTCACAGTTGTTCGGTGAGATTTACAACCAAGAATATTCCTCATTCTCTTCTCATTCGCCCTGTCATGGCCTCCCCAAATTAGCCAATTTACTAGAGTCTACACTAAACAGAAGAGGCCGCATACTTCGGGATTCGTCAAGCACATTTGAAACAACTAATTTGTCAGCCTTTGTCCAATCTAGGCTTCATATATGAAAAAATGTCGTTACTCAACTAAGATACGATTTTGCATTTCTACTGCTGTAGTTCAGAGAAAAAATTTGGGCCCAGGAGGCGGAAATTTCAAGGAGAATCCCCGTTTCGCCGGAAGGCGTGACACTCACCAGCGCTACCCGAGGCTCCACCGCATCGCGCTACCCACAAAGCATCCAGGAGACTGCAAACGTCGATCCTGATTTGATTACCATTAAAGCAGTCAGAACACGACTGCTAGATCCGATTCTAGGCTATCAGTAAAACGTACGAACTTCAAATGTGTGACACATGTGACACATCGCTCGAAACAGTGACTCAAAAACCATTTCAGTCATATTCGTAAGGCACTACTCATAAGGTCGCTGAAAACTCATCGACAGCCCACGACCGGTTTCGCCGTTCTGCTTTGGGCTCATCAGGTAGGCGCAGTCCCCTAATTTTCGTCAACCTTATGTTCTACTTGAGTCATATTTGCACTACCAGCAAACTGTTCGTGCTTCCGCTCCCTTTAAACTCATGACCAACTTTAGTTTTTCATTTCACCTTTCGTTATCATTTTAAACGAAGACGAGATCATGAAAGCATCGGTATTTATCATCCTCTTTTTCTGGATTATAACAGGAGGAGGGAACAAGAGTATTTCGGTGGCTCTTAACTTGAGGTACGAGACAGGTCAACGAGGCATGTGACTGACAAAGTGGTCTTTCAAATTCCAAAATAAACGACCTCCAGTACCGGCACCATGTGAACCGTCCTGAAAGAAAAACAATCCACTTGCAGTTTCGCCTTGTTGGTTGTTCCATCAGGCCTGTTGTGTTGACTGGTCGTCAAAGGCTAAAGGAAATCTTCGTTCAGTTTCAAAGTCCCATGAATCTCCCCACTTCTAACCTGTTCTAAAAATATTAGCATGAGCAAACCCATGATTCAAGTTTTGTTGCCCATCAAAGACCAGAATAATGAAAAAAAAATAGTGATTGTTCAGCTGCAACACCTTTTGGGTGCCTGGATGCCATGCCACCCGAAGGAAGCAGGGGGGGGGGTGAGACAGAGTCCAAACATAGACAGGGGCAGTCGAGATGCACGGATGACGAACCTACCAGTCAGTAAGTTCGCACCACGTCGAGACAGGAAGTCAACGACCAACAAGAAAACCCGTCAGCTCAGTTTCAAAGCCTAGAAGCCCGGAAGTCGAGGGGTAGTGTAAATAAGATGTGGCAATAAGCAGAGTTTGAAGACACTGTGCATGAAGAATGGATGGGCGAACTGTGAGAGGAAAATGTACGATAGATAGGTTGAAATTATCATCTGGTATGATGTTCCTGTTTACGTGAGGTGAAAAACCACTAGAAACGTATCCAGCAGTGGCGTATTACCATCCAGCGTTGAATGAAAATAACTGAGTCACAGCAGAAAATCGTCAAGACCTGGAGGTACAAAAGACAATAAAGCCTGCACTAGTTGAGGTCAGTCAAGTCGGATTCAAGGCATTTGGGTCAAATACACCCAAAAAGAGTGGGACTAACAGCTCCCCATGCCGTGTGGCACTGGTTAACGTTGTTCTTGGTAAAAAGGTCGGACTGCAACATCCCTGAACAAATCACTCAAACGTCGGGCCTGGCCGACACCCAGTTTCGCCCTTCGGAGGGCTTCTCAGAAGGAAGTAGTCACCGGTTTTTCATCGTTCTGGTCTTCCTTATGAACATCAAATTGCACACAAATGGCGAGCTGTCTTCCTGAAAAGTGAGACCATGATAAGAGAATACTCGACTCAACCCGAGCATTGTGTTATGTCAAGAAAACAGATTCGATAAGTCGGTTCAATTCATCAGCTATAAAACTTGTGCCATAGGCACACCGGTCCCAGCTGTTACAGTTTCAATCTTAAGAAAATGGGAGAATGTGGGACAACAAAACAAGGATTGGAGGCGATGGCATGTTCAGTAAGTTCGGGAAACGGTTAGCTACGCTCCACTGACTGCGCGATGGAGTCGTTTCTGTCAGTGTGATTAACCATTGGTGAGTTGAGGTCCTGGGGTCGCCATCTACCGGGATGGCAGCTGTCGATCCGACTAAGATCACTGGTTAGTGTTTTCATACTTCGTTGCTAGGTCATACACTCTCCACCTCTCGGCCGCGAAAAGAGCTCGTCGAGACCGAGGTTCTTCTGACGTTAGCTGATAATACCAGTGAAAGGAAGAAGGCCTCCGATGCGGAATTCTTTATTAGAGAAACACCAACTGAACAGTTACGGACTGTTGGACAGGGGAGCAAAACTCTCATATGCATTTTGTTTACAAAAGTGAATACATATCTTCTCCTTGAACCCGTCTTCCTGAACTTTCCTGGATATTCATTGACTGTTACTCAAATGCACGCAAATGCTACAAAGCGACTCCACAAATTCCGTAATAGATCTCACTTTTCAAGAGACGTGAAGCAGATTTACGAGAAGACACTACTCGCATGCCTCATCAGTAACGTGGATGCGTAGTTTTCCTTCCACAATGACCTCGTGCTCGCCAAAGCCTGTTCCTCATCCCTCACGCTGGTCTGCCATGGGAGCCTTGTTAAACCCATGAGGAAGTCAGCAAAGGTCTCCAGGACGTCATTTATTAGGAAGAGCGTTATCATACATCCGGCGGCAAAGAAACAAGAATGTACTGGTGACCATGTCACTGCCTTTCCCACACACAAATACAGACAGGCCACTAGTTCGTACACGTGACATTCAATGGTCCACTCAGCGCAAGTTCATACATGAAAGAAAAGAACTTATAAACCGGAAAAAATAGTGTTTTAAACAAGTCCATTACCCCAGCGAAAATGATCGGTTTTCTGTTTAGCCATATCTCCGTCAGGTATGAAAACTGTGAAGATAGGTTGGCAAGTAAACTGGTGCTAGTAACCGGCTACTCACAATCTGAGCACACGGTTCACTAGTAGTCGATTTATTTGTTCAGCTGTCGAACGTGTTGGAAAGTGATAGCGAGAGAGAGAGGGACAGAGTTAGCGCTAAAAGCACTGTCACCTTTTGAATTTAACGACTTCACTGTCGGTGTTTGCTTGGTACGCGTTTGTCACGCGTGAGCCTCCATTTCTGAATTGGTCCGTGGAGTCGTTATGAACAGGTGACAGCAAAATACGGGTTAGTTAGTGCAACTGCCGCGCTGTCGGAATATTTATGGGGAACATAATTACGCGGTGAACACCATCCTCTGATTCTTGGACAGATGAGCCTGTGAGTCGTATCGTTAGCACACTGTTGGTAAAACTCAGAACGAACGCTTACTGTAAATAATGGT